TGGCTGTGTGCGTGGCGTGAGTGCAGGTGTGACAGTGTGTGGGAGTGAGAGCGGGCATGAGTGTGTGCCACGGGCCTGGTGTTGGGTCCTTGGAGGCCAGGGTTGCCCCGACGGGCCTGCAAGCTCTTTTTTGATTTGTAGTTATTTGAGAAGTCTATACAGGAAGAAAATTAAACCGCATTTACTAAATACAATAAAATTACAGGAAGGCAGAATTGTCCCCAAATTACAAACATGTGGTCCCTGAGTTGCTCCACAACAGCTCAGCCCCAGACCAAGGGTGGAGATGGCAGCCCCGAGCCCCGGGCCCATCTCCTGCTCCCCACTGAGGTGACACAGGACCCCCGTAAGGCAGGACCCCAGAGGCCCACACAGCAGGGGGGGCTGTGTTGGGGGAAGGACCCCTGCCTGCTGTCCCTGCCCAGCCTGCAGTCCCACCCTCACCGGGCAGCGGACCCTGGACTGCTCGTGACCATGGCCTCACTTGGAAAGCTGCTCTGGGCTGGTCCAAGCCTCTTCCCTCTTTCTGAAAAATCTGAGGCCCACTAGCAGCGGGCAGCAGGCCATGGGTATGGTCTCGGACTTGCAGGCCCAGGAAGGCCACCAAGGAGCAGGAAGAGCCGTGTCCTGGGATCAGAGCCCAGGCCAGAGACCCTCCCCAAGGCTGTCACCCAGGAGGGCGATGATGGGAGGCAACAGTGGGGCCCAGGCTGGAAGGGAGAGGGGCCGGGCCTGTGGCAGAGTAAGAGCTGGCACGGAGTGGGCAGAGGCCAAGGTGGCGGGGTGGGCACCAGGCTCGGGAGATGCTCGGCCTCGCACCGAGCGAGGGGGGGCTCTGGGGCCAAGTGCCTGCTGCCTGGAGAGCAGGGCTGGGTCCTCAAGGCCCCCCTGCTTTTGGATGTTGTGCGGCTACTGGAGCTGAAGCCCAGTCGCCCCGGCTCCATGGTCCCTGTCCAGACACCCAGCAGGGGGCCGCCCTGACCACCTACTCTGAAATCCAGGCATATCCTGGCACCACCTGGCCAAGAGCCCACACGGCCCCAGGGCATTCATTCTCACTGGGCAGGGGCAGCCTCTGACCCCATCCCAGCTCTGGAGGTGCCCGAAGCGCCCTCCTAACGCCAGCTGTGAGCAAACGTCCGTGTGTCGTGAGGCTGAGCACAGCCTGGCCCCTCCGCTCCGGCTCCTGGTGGCTGTCTGCCGTGTCCCCTATGGGGCAAGAGGTTTCTCTTTGGCCCAAGCCCACCTGCCCCTGCCTGAGGGCGCCCTCAGCCGCTATGCTCAGCCCGTTGGAAACCTGAGAGCTCATGTCCACGACAGGGCCAGCCAGCAGGGAGAGGACCCGGGGCTCCCCTGGGAGGCAGGCCACTCGTTCACGGGGCCACTTGGCCCTGCCCGCTCCCTCCACCCCAATTTCCCACTGGGCTTTCAGGGATTGCCCCAAATAGACTCCGTCTCCCAAGCCATGCACCTGGGCCTGCCTTTGGGTGTGGATGGGGGGTGTGGATGGGGGGTGCCTGGCGGAGGGGGCTCTGTGCACAGGAGCAGATGCCCAGGCTGCCCGAGGAGGGCAGGGTGTGAGGACTGGGACAGCCGCGCCCCTGCTGCTTGGCACAACCAAGTGAAGACATGACGCCCGGAAGGGCCACGTGAGCTTGGGGCGGGTGGTGCCTACGGAGGGAGAGGCAGAGGCAGAGGCTGTCAGCCTCTCCCCACCCCTGCCTCACCCGGCCACGCCCAGCGTCACCATGTCTTTCTTTGTGAGAACTGAGTCCACCGACCCCACCTTGTTTAGATTAGGTCGGAAGTCACCTGGGCTGAGCTGACGGCTGATTCCATCCACGAAAAGAACCATGGAACATACTGGCCTTGGGCCGGTGTGAAGCCACCCACGTACTGTGAAAAATGGCTCTTCCCTGCCACAGTCAGCCCAGCGGGAGCCGGGTCAGGGCCTGGAGCCACAGCGCTCCCCACCAGAGCCACTGCCCAGCCCAGCAGCACCTGCGGAGAATCCCACCGGCACCCATGCCTCCCCACACGCCACCACCCCAGCTTCCTGCAAATCCACCTTCGGAAGCCTGATAAGGTGAAGTCCACATTTAACTAAAAGTGAGTTACTGAGGGTTCTTTTCTTTGCAGAGTGGTTCCCCTAAAGGATTCCTTTAAACATGATCTGGTCAGCCAGTGCTCACCTATGTCCACTGAGTCGCGTTGGTTTGGGGCGGCAGGAGCCCAACACTCCAGGCACCTGAGGGAGGGAAGATGCTGGGTGTGGCCCTGCTTTCAAGATGCTTTGTGTGTTAAGCAGGTGAGCAGACAGGCACACATTTGCTCACTCAGTTCCTTGGGGTAGCACTGATGGGCAGGGGAAATACACCAAGGGCCAATCGTGTGGCACTGACTCGCTGTCCCTCTATTGTATTTTATAGAGACGGTCTCACATTCGCCCAGGCTGGAGTGCAGTGGCGCAAGCATAGCTTATTGTAGCCTTGAACTCCTGGGTTCAAGCCATCCTCTCACCTTAGCCTCCCAAAGCGCTGGGATTGCAGGCATGAGCCAACACACCTGGTCTGGCCGGCACCAACTCTCAACCACGCTGTCGCAGAGACCGGGGCCCTTGCTTGCTGCTGGATGTCACCTTTCAGCCCTGAGAGTCTGGGGATGGGAGCCGGCAGCTCTCCCGTGCACAGAGCACCGCAGGAAGCACTGGAAGCCGGAGAGAGCGAGGGTGCCATGCGCAGACTTCCCGGCGGGCGTCAACCTCCTGTGTGGTCGGGAGTGCAGGCGCTGGGGCCGGAACCCTGGGCACTCGACCACAATCCGCCGGGGCAGTGTGGCCAAGTGGGCACGTGTCCTGGGGCTCCCGCAACAAGCCAGGTGGCCTCAACGACAGATACTGATTCCCTTACAGCTCTGGGGACCAGAAGCCCGAAATTAAACCGTGGGCAGGGCTGTGCCCCCTCCGGAGGCTCTGCAGGGGGGTCTTCCTTGTCTCTGGCAGCCTCTGGTGTCCCAGGCGTTCCTTGGCTTGTGGCTGCCTCCCTCAAATCCCTGCCTGGCCCTCCCATGGCCTTGGCCCCTCTCCATGTGGCTCTCCCTGAGTCTTCTCTTCTCTTGATAAAGGCGCTTGTCCTTCACATCAGACGCTGGTCCAGCCTGACAGCCCAGGATGATCACGCCGCCGGGTCTTGACCTGATTATATCTGCAAAGACCCTTTTATCAAATAAGGTCATCTTTACAGGTTCTGGGACACAGATCTTTCTGTGGAGACACCATTCAACAACGAGGGGAAGCCACAGCCAGACCCCCTCCACTCAAAGTCTTGCTGCTTCCTCACCATACTGCCCACCACATTCCGTGTCTACAGAGCTGGGACAGTGGCGGTGCCCACCTCAGAGGTCACCGTGCAGATTAAATTCATCCCCAGACATGAAGTGCGGGGTGCAGGCACAGAGAGCTGGAAGGAAAGGTTTCCTGTGACCGTGTGCTCTTTCTGCCCTTGGCTGGGGGTCTCTGCTGTGCTCGGCGTGGGCGGTGATGAGGATGTCACTGGGTGCACAGCTGGCCCTGCAAGCTGCCCGGACCCCAGGCCTCCCCTCTTTCCAGCCAGGACGTTGTGTGCTCGCAGCCTCTCAGGGCCACAGGCACACAGTGGTTGCTGCTGCCGTGTGCTGATTTGCTGTGGAGACTCCACTGGGGCCAGGCTGAGCAGGCTCCCCAGACACATCCGGAGGCTCCTCGAGAGGGCCGCGTGGCAGGCACAGGGTTGAGGGGCCTGTGTGGCAGGGCCACAGCTCACCTGGGAGCGCAGGTGGGAAGCCCCCACACCTAGCAGAGTGCGGCTCCTTCCCGCACAGCCACCTGGGCTCCTTGGCCTGACCCCGCAGGGCTCTCGAGAAGAAATGGGGGCTTCCCCTCCTCCAGTCTCACCGTCAGTCTCTGCGGTGTCTCCACCCAGCACCTCCTCCTCGGATGCCTCATAGTCACAGGCCCTGGTGAGGAGGGAGCCACGGCAGGCACAGTGGCTGGAACAGGGGCAAGTGAGTGCCCACCCCAAAGTGCAGGCAATGAACTTGTGCCGTAGCCCACAGTGAGCTGGGGGGCTGGTTGTGCCCACCCCGCGTGATGCAGCCTCTTCATCCAGAGTGGGGGTGACATGCCAGCCCCCACCTCACCGGAATGCTGGGAGGAGCGTGTCCAAGGAGGGAGCTCACTTTGTCAGCTGCAACATGCTGTGACTATCGTGTGACTTCCCGGGTCGCTGTAGCAAGTCCCCCAGCCTGGGGGCTTCAGCAGACACGGCTCTCTCACCATTCAGGAGGCGGAATCCCGGGCCAGGGTGTGGCACCACTGGCTCCTGAGGCTTCTGTCCTTGGCTCTGTCTCCTGCTGCTGTCCTCACAAGGTCATCCCTCTGTGTGGGCCTGTGTCCGCATCTCCGCTCCGTATAAGGACACCAGGCAGATTGGGCCAGGGCCACCCCATTAGTCTCATGTTACCTTAACCACCTCTGCGAGGACCCCATCTCCAAGTAAGGTCCCTTGTGGAGGCACTGGGGCTCAGAGCTGCAGCATACAGATCTGGGGGAGACACGTGGCCCCTAACAGTATCGAGGGTGGGTGGACCCCCACAGGACAGCCGCTGGGGGGAGACACGTGGCCCCTAACAGTATCGAGGGTGGGTGGACCCCCACAGGACAGCCGCCGGGGGGAGACACGCGGCCCATGACAGTATCGAGGGTGGGTGGACCCCCACAGGACAGCCGCCGGGGGGAGACACGTGGCCCCTAACAGTATCGAGGGTGGGTGGACCCCCACAGGACAGCCGCCCGGGGGAGACACGCGGCCCATGACAGTATCGAGGGTGGGTGGACCCCCACAGGACATTTCCTTCTCTGCTGGTCTGAAAATCACACTGTCTTAGACAGGGAAGAATCAACATTTCCACCCCAGGCCGAGGCCCCCAGAGCACACAGGACCAGAGGATCAAAGAGCAAACATCATCCTCAGGGTCTAACGTGCAGGTGGCAGGACCCTGGCCCTTCCTGAGTATCTGGTTGTGGGTTTTGTCTCCGCAGCGTGCAGGGATGGGTGCAGACTCCGTCCAAGGTCTTGGCAAGAAGAGAAACTGCCACCGCAGAGGGGCTGGCTGAGGGGCTGGGATGGGGACTCCGGGACGCGGAGCCGTACACCAGCCCCTTCCACCCAGGCAGAAGGTCCATTGCGCTCTGCCCCACAGAGCCTGTTCCTATGCCAGCCAGGGCACTCCCAGGCCCGTCTGCAGCCAGAACACAGCCGGTTCCGTGTGCTTGTCCTCAGGACCCATTAGGAATGAATCCAGGCCTCGGTCCTGGCCTCCTCGCTGAGGCTGGACGCTCAGGCATCCCCTTCAGCCCCTTTCTCTAGACCTTCCTGCTGAACAAACGAAAACATCTCACAGCCCTGCAACAGCCAGGAGCTGCTGGTGGAGCTCCATGCCCGGCCGCAGAGAGAGGAGGCGCCTGGGCAGCCCGCCAGCACCCGGGCTCCCACAGCGGAAGCGGCTTCTTCGGCTCTATTTGGAAAGCTGTTCTTTCCGCAGTGCCTTTGACAAGAATCGATTTGAGTGAGCCAGCGTGTCAATACAGGCTAGCACAGGACTGGCCTCAGGGCCACATTGGGGCGAAATGCATGGCAAAAGCATGGCCAGGCAAGAGGTGGGACCTGTGAGGTTGGCTACAGCGACCGTGGGCACTGGGTTCGCGGCTCCTCAGCCCTGAGAGGGGACCCAGGCCCAGGCGGGCTCCCAGCCTCCAGATCTTCTCCCCTTGAGACCTCGCCTTCTGCACAGCGACAGCAAAGAGCCCCTGAGTCCCACTCTGCAGGGATGTACTGCATTTCCAGAAAGTTCCTTCCGGGTGCAGAGTGACACGTGAGCCCTGGGGACTCGCTCCGACTTGGTACTGATTTTCTCCACGGAGGACCCGCAGTCACGGCCCGTGTCTGCACAGCCCCTCGGATCCCGCGGAGGAATTCAGCCGGCCCCTCCCCCGTGCGGTTCCCTGCTGTTCAATCCGAAAACCATGGAGGCAAAGTCGGGCCGGGTTCAGGCTCCATGCAAAGTGCCCTTTGCAAGGTCCCCCTGTGGCCAAGCCCAGCTCCATGAGGTCAGGAGGCCGGGGTGGGGAGGCCGCCTGGGTGCGGGGCCAGGTGGGGAGGCCGCGTGGGGGGGTCCCAGGTGGGGAGGCCGCCTGGGTGCAGGGCCGGGTGGGGAGGCCGCCTGTGTGGGGGCTCAGATGGGGAGGCCGCCTGGGTGGGGGCTCCCGCCAGCGTCCCTCCCCGCTCATGGAGGCACAGGGACAGCTGTGTGTGCCTGCAGGGAGGCCTGGCTCTGCCCACTCGCCTAGCAGCGTGCTGAGGAACTCGGGCTTTGCTTTCTAGGGTACAGTGAGAACACGGGAGAGGACTTAGAGACTGCCTGCCACCACCGAGGGAGGCGGAGCGGGATTCGCACCCCCGTCATCGCTGGGCCCACACGCCGCCGACGGCTTCCGCGTGTGGCCATCTGTCTCTCAGAAACCCTCTGGCAGAGGGACCCAGCAGATGACTCGGGGGCTGTTCACACTCTGAAACCTGCTTGGAGTCAAAACACTGCTGGCGAGCCTCCGCGGCAAACCCAACCCAGACAGTCTTCCATGGTGGCCCCCGCAGTGGCGGGCACTCTGCCCACTCCCTGCCAGCCCCTGCCCGCTGGCCTCCAGGCCCGGCCAGGCCCCTGACCGGTCTCCTGACCCAGCATGCTGCTCCCCCTTGGGCCTGGCTTCCTTGCCGGCTGGGATTCCCAGGCCTCTCTAGCCCAGCCCTGCAGCAGGAGCCCCGAGGGAGGCTTGGCAGCTGCAGAGGTGAGTGGGCCACGCGTAGCCCGGAGGCCAGCAGGACCAGGAGCCCCTCACAGCGCAGCAGCCACAGCATCACAAGCCACTTCCACTCCTGGGCGACCTGGGGGCCCCCATCCCGGTCTGAGCTGCCCCTTATTGTGACCTGGGGCCCCCTGTGGTGGGCTCCCCTGGTGCCCCCAGATCCAGCCTCAGGGAGGTTCCAGATGCCGGCCAGGCCTCAGCGCCTCCACCCAGGATCATACATTCCTATCTCGGCGCTTCCGCCCTCCATCCTGCTCCATGCTGCCTCTGCTTGTTATTCCAGCACATTCCGGGGCGATGCCTGCTGCAGTGGCGCAGCCAGTACCTCCACCCTACCCCCCACATGACCCACCAGCCCCTCCGCATTCCCTCCGCTCTGTGCCCTCACTGACTGGAAGCCTGCCTGGCCCGAAGGGTCCTCACCTGGTGAGGGTGGGGTGTCGCCCTCACCTCCCTTCCACCCCAGCCCACCTGTGACTCAGCCCCGAAACCCTCACGGCTCTGTCCTCCCAGAGGGAGCCGGTGACTTGGTTCTGATGGTGCCTGGACCCAGCCCCGGCATGTTCAGATCCTTGTCCTTTAACCTGCCTCCACCTGTGGTCGCCTCTGCCTCCCTGCCTGACCCTGCAGGCCCTGCGGAGCAAACACTGCTGCCTGCAGGAGTCCCCCGGGGCCCTGAGGAACAGAGACCCGAGCCTCCTGTGGCCCCAGCGAGGGTTCCTCGGGGGGAGACAGTGAGCCCAAAGCTCTGGCTCTCGAGGGGTGGACAGAGTCCGGCTGGCGTTGACGGGGTGCCCCTCTCTACTGGCTTCCACAGTCCTTGAGAGCAAAGATGGTCCCGGCAGTGGAGCAGAGGGCATGGGTGGGGCATCCAGTCTCCAGGGAGCCACTGTTGGGTGGGGAGGAGCCCGAAGTGGGCTCCGGACCCCCGCGGGGAGCATGTCTCCTTCCAGTGGGGGCGGCTGGTTGATCTGGGCACAGGGGCAGGAGTAGCCCCATCTGGTGCTGACCTCGAGGCCGTGCCTCTCGGGGCATTTTGGCAGACCCACCTGGACCTGGGCGACAGCCTGATTTCCTGCAGCTGTGACCCACAAGGGTGGCAGCTCTCTCAGTCTTGACTTACCAGGACACAAACCCAGGCCATTTAATGTGCAGGCAGCCCCAAGTCCCAGCAGGGCCAGAAGCAGACCGTGGCTGGGGACGAAAGCTGCATGCTGGTCCCTGGGGCCCCGCTCACTCTGAGCTCCTGAGAGGAGGGAAGTCCCCACGCCCCACTGGGTGGAGTGCTCCTTGGCCTAGGACCCCATCCCATGTCTGCTGCCGTGGGGGCGGACTCTGGGCAGAGAGAGGCCAGACGGGCACCCAGGTGAGCTGGAACACATCCCTCCTGCTTCCCCCAGGGTCCCCAGAGGCGACCTCCCTCCTGCACAGGTGTCTGTCACCCTTACCCTCTAGGACGTCTTTGCCATGTGCAGCGAACCCCTGGACAATGTTGCGTGCCACATCGCCGGATTTGGGCTGTATACAGACCGAAGCATGTGGCATGACGCCTTCTGCCGTCAGCGAGTTCTTTGTCTCTCGATAGTATGTGTCCAGGCTGCCCTTCAAGGTGGCAGTGAGGGCAGTTGTCTCTTGCACGCTGTGTACAGTTCTGTCACTGACCCTTACACACAGCCCTGGAGACGGGAGAGCGTCGGGAGCATTCTGTGCAAGTGTCCTGGCATGTGCGGGCGTCTCCATGGCACAAACCCGAGCCGGGGACCACCCCCTCCCCTGCTTCCATGATTCCACCAACTGGGGGGGCAGAGCCAGGGCTGGAGGCACGCCCCGGGTGACAGCAGGTGGCCATGCCGGTGAGTGCACGTGTTCTCAGTTAATTTATCCTAAATATTTGTAAGTTTCTTGATTACTGCAGTTGCATCCCCAAGATAATGCCCCCCTCACCACATAGAAGGCACATGTGCTGGCCGGGCGCGGTGGCTCACGCCTGTAATCCCAGCACTTTGGGAGGCCGAGGCGGGCGGATCACAAGGTCAGGAGATCGAGACCACGGTGAAACCCCGTCTCTACTAAAAATACAAAAAATTAGCCGGGCGCGGTTGTGGGCGCCTGTAGTCCCAGCTACTCGGGAGGCTGAGGCAGGAGAATGGCGTGAACCCGGGAGGCGGAGCTTGCAGTGAGCCGAGATCGCGCCACTGCACTCCAGCCCGGGCGACAGAGCGAGACTCCGTCTCAAAAAAACAAAAAAAAAAAAAAAAGAAGGCACATGTGCTCTGAGGGCCCCTCCCACACTGGGATCAGGGCACAGCACCGTAGCGAGGCGGCGTGGGGGCTCAGAGGACCTCGGACAAGGCTGGGTACATGGGGCTTCTCCAGCCAGCCAGGAGGAAGCACCCTGCAGACTGCTAACTTTTGCAAAATAGAGTAAAGAAGAACAGCTAGAAAAAGAAAATGAAAAAGGAAAGATATACCAAATACAAGACCGTTTTTATTGTTACATTTAACAGTCAACTCACTTCGTCTGAGAGGCGTTGGCATCTGTGGACACACTCGGTGCTGAGGTTTGTCCCACTTCGGGCAGGGACAAGTGGTTCTCCTGGGGGGCTGGCCTCCACCCGCTCTGCAAGGCTGCACTGCATGGGACATTGAGGCACCCGTCGGCCACTCACTGCCTGGCTGCGTCTATGAGGGATGAAACAAGCTGGGCACCAGCTCAGCCTCTGAAGACCCCATGGGTACCCTAAGCCATGGTATCTGTCCCCAAAGTTCCTTTTGGGTGGCAGTGCTGGGGGTGCAGGGACACAGGGTTCCAGTCACCCAGGGCCAACCCTGACCAGACGGCAGGAACCAGGGTCTGCAGCTGGATGCAGATGGCAGGCAGATCATTCTGGGGAAGTCCCTTTCTTAAACCACATACTGTCCTGGGCTGAACAGGCCCCCCTAAAAATTCATGTCAACTCAGAACGTCAGAATGTGACCTTATTTGGAAATAGGGTCTTTGCTGATGTAATCAAGTGAGGGTGAGCTCACACTGGAGTATGGTGGGCCCTCGTCCAATGACAGCATCCTTGTAAGAAGAGGGAAGTCAGCCTCGCAGACGCAGGGAGGACAGCCACATTTCAGTGGAGGCAGAGACTGGAGCCACATAGCCGCAGGCAGAGGGATGCCTGGGGCCACCAGGAGCTGGAAGAGGCAGGGAGGACCCTTCCCTCGGGCCTCCAGAGTGGGCAGGGACCTGAGGATGCCCTGATCTGATCCCTGATTCCAGCCTCTAGAACCGTGAGAGGCTCAGCATCTTTCTCTGCCCCCCAGCCCGTGGCCTCTGTCAGGGCAGCCTTGGGAGCTGAGCCTGGCCCCTAATTCTCGGGAGCTCTTTCACGGACGGGGTTCTCCATCTCCCGAGCATGTCTGAAGTCCCCTTTCCACTGCTCGCCAGGCTGATGGTGACTGCCACCTTCCCTAGGGACCCACCCTCTGTTCCCAAAGGCCCTGCTGGACACCCGGCCGCTCAGCCCCACCCCGCCTAGCCCGCACACCCCCATGTCTTCTCTGAACGGGGTCTTCCCTGAACGGGCCTGGCCTTTCGGTAGGGAGGCGAGGCCTCCACTTGAGGGCTGGCCCCTGATTGCTCTGGCATTTCAGTGACGCTATGCCCCAGACCGAGGGAAAACTCTAGAAAAACTCCCCACCAAACTCCTCTTCTGCAGAGTTGAGGGGACGGGAAGTCTGTAACTTTCCTGCAAACGTTATTCTGCCCCTGCCAGGTGGGCTGAGATGGCAAAGGTTGACGACAAAGGTCCTGGGAGTCCCCACAGCTGCGGGGGAGGGTAACTGGCACCCCCCCACCCAATGGGGAATAGCAGCAAAGCTTCACACAGTCCCCAGGGGCGGCCTCTGCCGCTGCGCGCAGGTCCCACCGGAGCCACATGAAAACCACAGAAAGACAAGCTGGAGTCACCGGCGCCCTCGGTGGAAAGGACACCCTGTGGTGTCTCCCCCTCCCTCCCTGCACAGCCAAGAAAAGACAGGGCCTGTGCACCCCAGCAGCAGAACACAGTCCCCAAGATCCCCACAGGCTGGGAAGTCCGAGATCAGAGGAGAGGTCGCCGCAGGGTTATGACTCTGGGGAGTCCCTGGGGGGGACCAGGGGCTCCCTGTGGTGCTGGGCGTGCTCTTGGGGAGACTCATTGACACGCATGGTGATGACACGGGTGTAGACATGCAAAGAAGACCTGAGCGTAAGACAGGATTTGTGTCTTTCATGGTATGTCAGCTTTACCCCATTTTTAAAGACTTTCAAAAATGTTATTCTGGGCACGTGCTTTGAACAGACTGTAACCCCACACCAGAAGGAGGACCTTGGATGTGGAGCTGGCAAGCTGGGGCTGCCCGGGGCTATCGTCTCCCTGCGGCTTCCTCTCCGAGAGGCTCCCGGGAGCAAAGCCGAGTCGGCAAGGCCGTCTGCCCGCTGAGCAGGTGTTGGCTGCCTGGGTGGCACTTCCTGTGCTGAGGCTCGGGGCTCTGAGCCCTCATGGCACACAAGGTCTTAAGGACAGTGACCACACAGCCCAGTTGGCCGGGGAGGTGGCCTTAGGAGGGAGAGCCAGAGGCCACAGAGTGTGCTCCAAGGTACACAGGGCCCTCCGTCTGGGACTGTAAGAACAAAGAAGGGTCTAGGGCAAGGCGACAGGGACAACCCCAGCAGAGAAGCTGAGGGAGGGGTGGAGACAGCGCGAGATGACCGGAGACCACATGTTGGGTGGTGCTGGGGGGACTATGGTAAAGGGGGGCCTGGCGTGAAGACCCCCTGCCCAGCCCTGTGGGGGTCCTAGCAACCCCAGAAGCCCTGCTAAGACCCTGGCACGGGCCCCACTTCCCTGAGACTCAGCTTCCCCATCTTTAAAGTGAAGCCTGGCGCCTGCCTCCGAGTGCAGTGAAAATTCAATTACAGAAGCCACAGAGGCGCTCAGCACAGCGCCCAGCGCAGGGCCGGGACCCAGAGTGGACTCTGCCGTGGGACTGCCTCAAAGAAATCTTAGCAAACACAGGAAGCCAGCCCACCCTGCAGCCATGGGGCCAGGAAGCCCGCCCTTTACCAAGTATTTGGGTATTTTTTTCTCTGTGCTAACAGCCCAGACGGAGCCACAGCCTCAACCTCTGTGTGCTGATAACACCAAGCTGGGGCGCCGGGGCCATGCAGGGGACGGTGCCGGCCTGAGGCTGCAGCCTGGGTCTGGATGCCTTTCTAA